TTGCAGGCATTTTGCCTTGTGTGGCTGTTTTCACTAGAAAGAAAAAGCTTTCTACAACAGCCTTTTCGCATGAAACAGCGTGATTTGCAAATACTAATTATAATAGTTTATGTTTCAGGCGATCAATTTTCGCTTGCAATATTTCGCCATCAAGGGGAGAGGCACAACGGCGCATGTGCGTCCGTCTCCTGCAAAAACGACGGTCGCTTCTCGCAGTGCCTGGATAGAAAATAGCATACCATCGAGATTCCCACGCTTACCAGCAAACTCCGTGCTTTCCCGTGCCACGTTGTTCGGAAGCACCATAATTTGCGTAGTGAATGTTACGACAATGTGAAATGCGGGACATTTTGAAGATTTTAGTATTTCTTGCGGGACGCGAGACATGAGCCCTCAATACGGGACAGTCCCGCGAGTCGCGGGACAGGTGGTCACTCTACGTCGGATCGCCTTACCTTGCTGTTGACGTCTTCTCAATCTTGAGTTTTTTAGCTTTAATTGTCTCTTTTTTTTATCTATTCTAGTGTATTTTTATGGTCTGTAAGTGCATTCATTTTATTCTGTGTGCTGTATTTTTTACGTTTAGTGTCTGTGTGTGTTTCATTGTTTTCGACGCGGGTTCGACGGACATCACGCCGCCGCTTACACCGCCGCCGAGGGCGGTACTGCTGTTGACACGACGCTCCGTTTCGAATGTCAGTGCACATGTCATCAGTGTTGGCAAAGCAACGACGTAGCAATCGCGATGAGAGTCCCACGCTCGCTCTGCTGAAATGTCAGCATGGTACTTTTGAGCACCGATGCAAGACGCTGCTTCAGTGATGGAAGTGGCGTTTGCCCTTTTGTAGCAGGTTCTCTAGGGGGCAAAATGTTAATTTGGAGCAGATAACTACATCCTTTAGCGCATCACTTCAAAATGGAAAAGTGATTGCATTCCTAAATGAGCTCATCTATGTTAGTGAACAAGTTCCTCTTTGATGCTGGAGCATATTACTTATTACCTTTTGGATAGAATCGATAAGGTGCTAAAGGAACGCAGAGCCTTCTTTTTAGAAATAGGGCTCTGATCAGAGTAGCTTTATTATACAGTGGGTATTGAATGGTTAAAAAATGAATCGCATCGCAACACCTCAGTTGGGATAAAGTCTCTCATCCCTCTTCATTTTACACTGAGTATTTTGTTTAGCCTGCAATAATAATTTTTGTAAATGATCTAAATAAATGGCTAAATAAACTACTGAGTGTACAGTGAAGAGGGAAGAGAGGCTTTATCCCAACTGAAGTGTTGTGCTGCGATTCATTTTAGAGCGCAGCTCTTAGGCGCACGTTTCCGTGTTTCGCATTGCCGTCGGTGTAACCGCGCTTAGCGGGGAACTTCAGTTTCTGCACTAGATTCAGCAAACAAATTCAGTTTCTCTGGTAGATTTAGCGGGGAAATTGATGTCACGTGACCTCAACACCAATTCAATGCACCGCTAAATTTACCAGGGAAATTCACTTCCTCTGCCAGATTTAGCGGACAAGTTTAGTTTCTCCGCTAGATTTAGCGGGGAGATAGACATCATGTGACCTCAATACCAATTCTATCCCCCGCTAGATTTAGCGGGGAATTGGATGGGTGTTGAGGTTATGTGGCGTCAATTTTTCCGCTAAATCTAGCGGAGAAACTGAATTTGTTCATAGGTGACGTGGCACCACGTCATGTTACATCGTTTTGCCCGCTAAATTTAGCGAAGGAACTGATTTGGTGTTGCGGTTATGTGGCATCAATTTTTCCGCTAAATTTTGCGGGGAAACTGCGAGGAGGGGAGGGTATAGAGGAGGAGGAGGAGGATGGCAAGGTGCGCAGGAGGAGGAGGATAGGGTATAGAGGAGGAGGGGCATACCTTCCCCTCCTCCTCCTCAAGAGCTGCACTCTAATTTTGAGATCAAGAGATTTGTAAACTTTTCTTTTTTTCAACCATTTCTTAATACCCATTGTAAATTAAACCTGCTGTGATCAGAGCCCTATTTTTATAAAGAAGGCTCTGCATTCCTTTTGTGCCCTATCCATTCTTGTCACGAAAGGCAATACGTAATATGCTACAGTATCAAAGAGGGACCTTTGTTCATTATCATAGATGAGCCCATTTAGGGATGCAGTCACTTCTTTTTCATCAGCGATGCACTAACAGGTGTTGGCATCTGCTCCAAAAGCATTAGTGACTGCTCCAAATTAATATTTTGCCCTCTACACAACCTGCTACAAAAGGACAAATGCCGCTTTCATCACTGAAGCAGCGTCTTGCGTCTTCAGCAAGCTAGCTGTGCTTGAGAGTCCCACGCCTACATTTCAGCAGAGCGAGCGTGTTCGGCCAGATCGAGGTGCAATCGTCTCTCGCGTCGCGGTTGCTAGGTCGTTGCTCTGCCTACAGTCATGACATGTGCACTGACATTTGAAACGGCTCTCATGCGGGTCGAATAGACGAGTTTATTGCACGATAGAGCGTCGTGACAACACTAGTACTCCCCTCAGCAGCGTCGAAAACAATGAAATATACACAAAAATTACAAAAAGATCTAATGGTGGATTCTTAGGGAATGCCGTGGAAACGGCGCATACGTACCCCTTTGGGAAACGCTAACGTTCACTTTTCCCTTCACTTTTCTCTTTCGACTCTCACTTTTTCTTCCTCTATTTTTTGCTGCCTCTTTTTGGCCTTTTTACGTTTTCCAAAGGGGGGCCTGTGTGGCGGTTCACATGGTTCATGCTAAAGGATTTTCTAAGAATCCACAAATGGATCTTCCTGTAATTTTTTTCGCCCCCTTTTTTGTACTTTGCCTGTAAGATTATATCAACGCCCTTGGGCACGGTCATCCATATCACTCGTGAAAAGAACCACCTGCACACTTCTCGTGGAGGGAACAACATCCATGTCCCTCAAGGAGTGAACTGCATCCATTGTTTCAACCACACTTGCATCACTGCGCACGCACCGCTACTACCGAAACCCAGAGCAAAGACCAACTAACGACGGCAGAGCGGCACCTGAGCACGCCCGCATTCCACCGCGTCGTGGAGCAACACCTCCTAGATAGCAAAGTCATAGTGCTGAATGAGATGGCATCATCAGAAAAGACCAACGCTTGGTGCAGATTGGGCATGACGATTGCGTCATTGTTCGACAAACTTGACTCAAAGCCGAGCGCTATAGCAGCACTCGTTTCCAATATATGTCCAGCATTGGCCTTCTCTGATGCAGTCGCCGACCGTTTTTTCGGACTCCGATATTCGGACTTGTTTGATATTTCGGACCTAAAGGCGGAACCGTGACTTATCCCATAGAAATAGTGTATATTCACAACCAATGTTTCGGACAGCTTGATGTCCGAAAGTTTGATTATTCGGACAAAATCGTCGCGAGCGATCAGCGGAAAACACCATCGAGAAGCGGCCATTTTGAATTTTATGTTGGCTGCAAATGGATTGGCTTGGTTTGGCAGCGCTACTTGAACACTCCTGAGTCCTACCGCTAGGTGACGCTATGCTAGCCCTTTTTTTTTTTTCCTATTTAGCTGCACGTCATCATCATCATTATCATTTTGCTTTGTTTTTTGTTCTTTCGCGTCGCCAGTCGCCATTTCGCGCTCGTGGATTTTTCGCCTCTGATCTCGTTCGGAAAACGCTGGCTTGGACGTCATGGCCCCATATGTTGTTCTGCCGCCCCGATCTGTAGTTAAGAAGCGCAGAAAGTACTCGACCATAATGCTAGAAAGGAAGGCAGCGATTCTCAAGCTAACAGAAAGTTGCCGAACGGAAACGGAGGCATAACCTAAAACAAGGCACGCAGGCGTAACCTGAAACAAGGCCCTATTTACGGCTTTTTTAAGCCCACTTGGAAGTAATAAAGGCAATTTTTTCAATCTGCTGATTTTTCGGACTGCTCTATTATTCGGACGTTTTTTTCGGTCCCAGTGAAGTCCGAATAACAGGTCGGCGACTGTAACACCATCTCATTCAGCACTACGGCTTTGTTGTCTAGGTGTTGCTCGGCACCTCCTCCCCTCTGGCTCCGCCCGCAGCAGCTGTGCGCGCGACTGACGAAAATGAAATTTATCATTTTGACGAAAACCTTGTGGTGTCTGTCAGTTTGTCAGCGCCGGGGAGAGAGGGAGAGGTTCTTGCGTGTTGACGTCAGCTCTTCGGACCGATGGGAGCGTCGCACGCATCACCCTCTCCCCCTTTTCCGGCACTGACATACGACACCCAGGGGCAAACCTGGGGGAGGCCCCAAGACCCCTGGATTAAAAAGAAGTCTGGGGGGGAGGGGGAGGGGAGAACTTGCTGCACACTTCATTGTGTATTGGATCTTTGTTTAAATGCACATATAAATAGTAAAGAGAGGTCTTTCCTCCTCAGCGACACGAAGCGTCGCAATTTAAGACACGATTGCGATATCTCCCACTTCGAAGCAAGGGATAATGTAATCTTGATTTAACTCTGCCCACTTTGCACGACCTAAGACTATGGTTTAGGCTTTGCGGGACAGCCCGATAAATCACACAACTCTGTTATGTCACGCCAAGGCGTGACATAACAGAGTTGAGTTGGTGTACAGGCTGACTTAGTTTGAAAGTAAGGGTATGTTCGAAAATTATTCCGAGTTATTCTGTATAGCAGATACTTTTCGGTTATGCAATTTTTGTATTTAGACTGACACATCTAGGTAAAACTTACTTTCACTGCTGCATAACTCTTACTTTTGCTGCTTCTGAGCTGCTCCAAAGTGGACCTCTCCTGCTTCCAGACCTGCTCCAAAAGGCTGAAGCTTGCTTCCACCCTTGTATTCTTTTTGTGCATCTTGGCTTTATATCGGAGCAAATAAAGAAACGAGAGACGATCGCGGAACGGTATTGCCGTTATCTGGCGAAGAACGGCCGAGTGCCCGCCCCGCGACCCAAGTTCGGCCTCGGTTGGTGGCCCGACTGCGCAGGCTCACTGCCTTTCGTCCATCTTTCAGGAAGACACAACGCCACGGGGCTTTGATCGGGGCCTGGAGCCCGAGAGGATCATTGGAGCGACAGACTCGAGCGGGGAGCTGATGTTCCTCATCAAGTGGTGAGTCTGGGCCGCCTTCTCTCCTTCGCTTCACAGGGAATGGGAAGAGGCAACCCTCGCAACCACAGTGACCGGCGATCAAGGGGACTGCGCAGCGTAACGGGCAGCGAGCGAAGCGTCTGTGCGACATTGACTTCATTCAAATTTGCGGGCGCATCCCCCGCCCTTTGCCAACACCTAAGTCATTGTGTGGCGCAGGGTGGGGAGGTACGGTAATGGGGATTCATCTACAAGTACATTAAGCCCTCGAGGCACCGCTTCGCTTGGTGCGCATTAGACTGCATGGTCCACACTGCCTGGCCGCCGCTCGCGCATTCCAGCTCGTGTTGTCTTCCACTGTACCATTGTGCATTGCGACCGGCGAAAGGAGTGAACTTTGCCTCTGCTTCGTGCCGCCTTCAGCATCTGACTTTTTGCTTCGACGACAGTACGGTGCCGCCCTCTAAGCGACGCTAAAGCTTGCTCGGCGACTCGTCGTGCACCGAATGTGCGTGCGCCGCACCGCCGAGGCTGCTTGTGGCCTCGGGTGCACCCCGGCAGAACGGTAGACGGACACCAACACTTGCGGCACGACACCTCGATTGTCTGTCCAGCTGTTGCATTTAGTGCCTTTTCCAGCCATGTATCGGAAGTGGTTTCGTGTGGCAACACGTGACGTCACGAAGGCCGGAGCGTCCTGCCTTCGGATTCCTGGCAGTTGGTCGTAGACGTTTGGGCAAAAAGCGTGGGAAAACATTGTCATTGTCGCGGCGTACCAACTCCCAGTTGGCGAAGCTTCTGCAAACTGTCGTGCTGTATAGGGAGCTGCAGCGGAAGAGGTGTCTGCGGTGCCCACCTCCGCTGCTACGCCACTGGCAGGGCAGGCCTAAATGTGACACCTCTACGACGTTGGCCAGACATTGAGGGACCCAATTCAAGGACTCGGTAGACACACACCGGTCAGAGAGGCACTCTGAACACCGTGCGTCCACTCAAATAGTTTGAGTGCACCTCTGAAGGGCCCGTTTTCGACTTGAGCGCCTTTGCCGAGGCACGTGACCTTGCCTCGGCGAGGTCATGTGGCCCCCCAGGGTCACATGACACCCCCCCTTGAGGGCACGTGACCCCTCCCCCAGGGTCACCTGACCCCCCCCCCCCCCCCAAGGTCACGTGACACCCGAGGTCACGTAACTCCCTAGGTCAACTGCGGTCTTTTTCCTGACATCCTGTTTGTCTGACGAGGGATGCGAAAAGACTTTAACCTCTAAATAAAGTCTATGTCACCCTAAATCCCATCAAAACGTCACCACGCCCCTGTCCAACAAGGAAGTACCTGCCAACATTGATCACATGACACGGTGGAATGAACTGGTATTCTTTATTTGTAGGTGTGGCCTTGAATATGAAACGTTTCCACGCTGCTGTATGAAAGTACAATACATACTTTCGTTGTAGGTTACCTCGTTGAAGACCATACAGGTAGTTGCATTTGGAATTTTCGAGAAAAGTGGACCACCTGAAGCATCCTGAAGCACATGTCTTATCTTCTGTTACGGTTGAAAAATCGATACGGTGGCATCCCTGTTGTGACAGTCCTTCCTGCCGACTCTCCGCCTCCGCCTCATGAATGGCAGTCTTCAAGTTTCGCCTAGCATCATTCAAACAGAGAGCTCGTGGTTTGCGACCTGAGATGGCCAGCACAGGTGCGAGCTCTCCGAGAAACAGCACGCTCGAGACGAGTCGCAGGTGTACGAAGTCTGGGTCCGCACAGCGAAGCCACGTCTGGCCTCCTTCCTGGGTATCGGATCACCAGAGCAGCGGGTCACGTTCACGTCGGCTACACCGAAGTCGACGTACCCTTGAGCGGTGCAATATTACAGGCGCAGACGCATTCGGATACGTGTTGAACTTCACTGGTGAAGGGCGCCACCGCCGCCCCCCCCCCCCCCCTCCTCCCCCCTGCTTTGACGCTTGTTTTTTATATTGCATTTGTTTTTGCATATAAGTCTGTTAGGGCCTTACGCAGGTTCGCAGTTTCCCGCTTGTTTTATTTCTGAACAACCGACTCCTGCCAGTGGCTCGGCACAGCTGAACGTAAAACAAAAAAAAAAAAAAGTGTAAAGAATCGGGCCCATTCCATTCCCATTCCATTCCGGGCAAAAGGCATCTAATTCCATTCCCATTCCATTCCCCTCAACGTTGCCACCATTCCCTTCCCATTCCATTCCGGGGTCGCGAAAATGTGGAATGATTCCGGGAATCATTCCAACTCCGGAGTGGCAACTCCGCAACATTGTTAAAAAGTAGAAAAAATACAAAAAGTAATTTCTAAACGTAAAATTCCGAAAGTTTAGATCGTCCGATGTGCAAAAATGCGCGTTTCGGGAGGTAGCACCACCTACGAACAGAGCGAATAATGGCGGTTGCACCGCTGCTGCCCTCTATGCGAGGCATTGAAAACCAGTGCAGACCGAAGACTACCACCAACCACGCCACTCGTAGCGAAGCTGCAAATGGCGACGAAGCGAAAAGCTATCTTTCTGGAGACAGAAGTGAAGCTTTTTAGGGCAGTGGACAGCGGTCGGAAGAAAAAAAAAACATCACTGCAGACTTCGAGCTTGCACCAAGCACGATATCTACCATCCTGAGTGCATGGAAGACGATCAAAGTCTGCTATGCAAACAACACCGTCAAGACTGATTGAAAGTCTTTGGCCTTGCCTCGACCCGTACGTGGAAGAAGCTCTGTTCTCATGGTTTAAGGACGTAACGGTGCGAAATTTGCCGGTGTCTGGTCAGCTTTTTCAAACGAAAGCAATCGGTCTGGTGTGTCTATTAGGCCATGATGATTTCAGCACGAGCAGCGGTTGGCTCCAGCGCAGTGGTTCCAGGTGAAGAGGCACCAGCCCAAGATCACGTCTTCAAAACAATAAATAATAGATCCAGATAACGTCATTTCTCGTGTTGCAAATTGATATCCTAATGCTCCAATCTATTTTTTTTTTTTAATGGTGCTTAGTGACAGGTAAGGACCTCGTGGTCCGCGATTGCATATTTTTATATTTTAGTACTGTTTTATATTTTAGGCTCGATTCCGGGAACGTTTGCGTAAATTTTTGTGTGTACTTTTATAACAGATATTGTATTTAGTGAACAAATTTCCACTCCCGATGCTAGTTCGTTATAACGAGTTTCAACTGTATATTTCTTACATAAATATAAAAAAATATGACCCGGACCGTCAGTGTACGATCTGACATGGAAACGCCCAGATAGTAAAAACATAAATTCATGCTTACAAGCAAAACAGCGCGGACAAGGACACAGGACAGAGAATATGCACACAGACGGACCGCTGTAATAAAAACATGCTTTTTCACTCCCGCGCTTGAATCCCCGCTCGAGCTTGCGGCGCGGAGCCCCGCCCCTTCCGTGGCCAACCTTGGTGCCCGCTCACCTCGCAGGAAGGACAGCGATGAGGCGGACCTGGTGCCCTCCCGGGAGGCCAACGTGAAGTGCCCGCAGGTCGTGATCAAGTTCTACGAGGAGCGCCTGACGTGGCACTCAAGCAGCACTGCCGCAGGGGCCACCTCCGCCGGCGACAGAGATGACGTCTCGTGAAGCGCACCCCTTGCCCCCTCACCCTGCGCCCTCAGCCTCATCTCTGTTTGTTTGCCAGAAGATCGGCCCCTCAAACTCCACCGAGTCTGGTTACACGCGGGGGTCACGCAGTTTGTACATTGCTCGAAACTCCTCTTCTTCCCAACCTTGTTCTGCGCTTGCTTGCACCTTCCCCCTCTTGCCAAGCTGTCCCGATGCTCCCGGAACGAGCCGCAGCATTTGGTGCCCTTTCTTTTATTTTTTTTTTTTTATTTTTTTACGTATGGCTGGAATGTTTAGTGTTGTCTCAGTTTGACATTGGCATACGTCCACAGGGGCTAGCGGTAGAGTAAATGTCTGTTTATATCTCGCATTGTTTTTTGTTTGTTCTTTTTGCTTTTAAGTTGTGGGGAAGCCAGTTCAAACTTGGTGTGGAATAATCGTTCATTACCTTCTGTTTCGGTATGCCGTGTTCTTCTTTTCCAATTGCCCGTGTCTCTTCCTTTGCTCGTGGACTCAAGTGTAATGTGCTGCTTGTGGAGCGTTGTGTCCGGACGGCCGGTGAGAGCACCTGTGTCTGGGCTGTCCACCTTCACCCCGCCTTCCTTTAGACTCGTGCCCTACAAGAGACAAGTGCCACGCGGCCTAGCCGCCATCGCAACCTTCCCGTGGCTGTCCTCATCATACTTTCATTTGAAACCAGTGGGAAAAAATGCACAGGTGATCAATAAAGGCAACACAGTGGTGACAAAGCATATCTTCCCGCAGGTTTCGTTTCTTTGCTCGTGACAGCATCAGTCCAGCTTGCTTCAAGCAGTGATCTTAAAGGGCAACTCCGCTCAATTCCGAAAAATTTAGGCTTACATGTGATTCCATTTCACAGAGCACTACTAAACAGCTCTATGTCCTCGTATTCGCGAAATGTGTAATATTATTTGTCTAATCTTAATTTAAACATCAGCTGATACCGAAACCGAAACTTCGGTTGCGTCGGGCAACATTGGTCTCGTGCCGTCAGTCATGGCGCGTCACGTCGAACCACGTGGTCTTGTGGCGTTCGTGGGGGCGAGGAACAGGACACGCGATGCCGGCAGGTCGCTTCGCATGGCGTGGAGTCCGTGGACAATGATGGCCCGGGGGAGTGGGGGAGGGGGAGCGGAGAAACAGACTGATAAGCGCGCAGGGCAGCGCAAACTAGCGCATCCGCGTTGCGGTGATCACGTGGACGCCGTTCAGCCAACACCGGGAGGAGAAACTCATGACGTCATCGTTCAATTTCGCTCTGAGAAGTAAAAACAAACAAAATGACAGGATGACGTCATGCCTCTGACGTAGTGGCTCAACGTTGGCCGCTCCGACTCCGTCGCATTGACTGCGCTGACGATTGCGCCTCACGCCGCACGCTGGAGTTGGCAGATTTTGGCGACTTGGCTGATTTGAAAGTTTGCTGGCCAGTTTATTAAATATATAGACGGAATTAGATCGTAATATTTGACATGGGGTCTTCCTATATGATACTGAAGAGGGCTACATAGTTTTCTAAATATCAAAAATGAAGCGGAGTTGCCCTTTAAAGGGGCCCTGGAACAACTTTTTGGCTGGTTTTTAATTTGCACCGAACATGAGCGCACTGAACGTAGTAACTTGAATAAACTGTTCTCAAATTACGCTTTATTTTAAAAGTTAGAGGCAAATTAGAATGACAAAAACAAGCTAAACATAACCTCCCTCATGACGTCGTAGGTCCTGGCTTGAGTGGCCGTGAACTAGAGGAGGAGTAGTGAGCTCATCGAGCGCTCACGGCTGCCGCACTCCGTGTCGACGGCTCGAGAGGGCGCCACTAAAGCACGTGTTGGATAGGCTTCATGAAGCGGGCGGCCAGGGCGGCTCGCATTGCATTTGCTGCGCGATTAAGGACTGATTTGGCATTACACTTTGTTGGCCACAAACGACAGCAAACACAGTGTGAAGATCAGAACGGTAGCCACTTCGTGCTGCCATACCGCCAAACCGCCAGCCAAGCCCGCGCCAAAAGCCTTCGGAACGCTCGGAACTTGTCGGATCCTCGAGCCAGTATACGACCGCAGCGCCGCCGCGTTCATCCGGGACCTTTCTACGCTTGCCGTTTGTCGGAGCCTCGTCTCACTAGCCTTTTCTAGTAGGCGCCGTTTTTTCCGCCGCTTGGTGGCGGGTCTGTCGACGAGTCTTTTCTTGTTTCCGTACTTTATAAACTGCATTTGTTCCTTTTCTGATCTAAAATACCATACAAAAACTACTTTCATACATAATTGAAACGGTTCGCGACACTTATATTTTGTATTTCGACTAAAAAAAAAAAAGCTTTTAGCGGCTCTGACCAGTAGTAAGCCCAGGACCAAAGTCGTCACATATTGCGCGCTTTCGGCAACGCGGGTCGCCCTCGTCGGTGGAGGAGGTGTCCGCGCCGTCCGGTTAAAATATGACGCACTGATATTTAGTTACTCTTTTTGTGCCCGCTGGCTTGCCCGAACCCCAAGAGACGTGGAAACCGCAAAAAAGTAGACGCTTAGATATGATTGCAGGGCCCCTTTAAGTGAAGAACAGTTTCTCTGTACCTTATTTAAAGTGATACTGCGCTACCAAAAACACTTCTAATTGCCTGGATAAGACATGAATGAGGAGTGATTGGAAAGCGGTGCCGCTCGGCTATAACCAAAAGTTTGACAGTGATATTTTCATAAATTTTGGTTAGCTCATATCTCTACTTCCTTTCAGCTTAAAGGGAAGCTGAAGAGGTTCTTGAAAAGAAAATTTTTGTCTCGTGCATTCGAATATCACGAGCGCATCTGAACGTATCCACAGACGCTCGAAAACCCGCCTTGCCGTTAGGAATTTGGGCTGATGTAGCAACGGGCTGAGGCTCAAGGGAGGAATACGGTAGTTTTCTTCACCTTAGGCAGACGGCGCCACTAAAAGTAAGTATAGCATAACTTTGTCGAGGATATGAGGTTTTTCATGCCTTTATTCATGTTGAAACGACGATATTGAGCGCATAACGGCACATCTTGCAAACTTGTTAGTACAATTAGCACCCAGGTCCCATGGCCGCCACACCCCGCGGCCCCTAATCCCAAAATATTTCCCTTTGCATTACGCAACGGAAACGCGATATTTCTAAAGGATGAGGCGGTCTCCTCATCTCTTTTAGTAAGATAAGCAATATAAAAAATAAAAATTGCAAAACCTTTCCAAGTTAAAATTGTTGCATCGCCTCTCAAGTGAAACTACGTATAGGAGCAGCGGCCGACATGGCTGAGCGCCTGGGTTATTGCGATAGGCTCGGAGATTATATTCACTACTATTGCAGGTCTATTCTCTTTGGTCTTGGTTGTAGGTTGATCTCTAATTTTTAAAAGCTGCGCCGAGAAAAATCTACAATGTAAGTGTACAGCATGTAAACTAACGCTTCTGGGGCACTTTAGACGTCCCGCAAAAATCTGTTTCTCAACGTATCGCGCTGCAATTTACTACAGTGGTTCAAGCAGGTGGTGGAAGTTTATATTGAAGAAATCAATAAATTTACCTACCTTGTTCAAAAGGGAAAAAAATGAGACATTTACAAATCCCTGTGATGCGAAATCAGCGCAGCTCTCGAGGAGGAGGGGAGGGTATGCCCCTCCTGTACTCTCCTCCTCCTGCGTACCCTCCCTTCCCCCTCCTCTCTCAGTTTCTTCGCTAAATTTAGCGGTTAATATGACGGCACAGAACTTGGTGTCATCATTTTCTTCGCTAAATTTGAAATGTAGAGCGCCATCTAGTAGCGCGCCGAGAACTACTACCGCCATCTTGGTAGCGGCGGGAAAACGAAACCAGTGACTTGACCGGCATCGAGACCTCATGTGAACGAGCGAACGCGTTTCGGGCGAGAAGTAATGCCAACGCGTTGCTGCGTTCCACAGTGGAATAAACCTTCGATTCGCGCTTTACGTGAACGCAAATGTGAACAGGGTCACAATATTTTTCTCTTTTTTTGTTTGTTACTTGAGACTGACAAAAACAATTGGTAAGAACGCGAAGAAACATGTGGACGTTATCGCGCGGCGTGAAGTCATTTACAACTATTGAACTGGGCCCTAATCTTTTCACGAAGTTGTACCAAAATTGTTTCTGAACTTTTTATTATTTTATGTGCGTTGCGGTCTCTGCCTGGGGGCGTTTTTCTTGATTCGTAAGCAGATCAATGTATGTGGACGAGACCGCGAGGCAAAAAGATGACAGTTTTATTCATGTACGCCACCAACAATATTTGAAGATGCGTATGGTCGACAGTAAACACCAAAAGCTGAAGGCACCACTGAACCCTCATTTTAATGTCATATATTTAAAAAAAAAACAATTACTTTGGAACGAAGAAGAGGACGAGCTAGGGATGCCACGGCTGTGGCGAGCTCCCTCTTTTAGAGCGCCGCTCTTAGGGGCCCGTTCCCGGCTTGAGCGGCGTCGGCGTAACCAAGGTCATCCCAAGGTCACGTGACCCCTCCCAAGGTCATCTCAAGGTCACGTGACCCCAAGATGACCCCACGTGACCCTTTGAAGGTCACGTGACCCCTCTGAGGTCACGTGGTCTCCTCCCCAAGGTCACGTGACCCCAATGTGACCCCCAGGTCACGCCTCCCCGAGGTCACGTGACCCCCTCCCCGAAGTCACGTGACCCCCCCCCCCCCCCGAGGTCACGTGACCCCCCCCCCCCCGGAGCAAATTAAAGAATGAGGGGAGGAGAAGGAGGAGGGGTCTACCCTCCCCTCCGTACCCTTCACTCCTCCTCCTTAAGAGCTGCGCTCCAATTCGGCGTTACAGGGATTTGTAAACGGCTTTCACTTTTTTAGATCGAAAACTCCGGCGTGATCGCACCGACGGCACTGATGACGGTGCCGAAGCGGGCGTGCCCCGCATGGGATCCGTGAGCAACCAAGACTCCGGCGCCGTCGCATCGACGCGCCGCAGCTGCCCGATGCCGGTCGCCGAGGAGCCACAAGGCAGCACCCAGGGTGGGTCAACCACCCCACAGATACACCGGGTAAGCTCCTTTCATGGCATGGAAGTAGTTGAAGTAGAGGGGACAGATATTACACCAGAACAAGTAACCAAAGGAGCGGGATGGCTTGACAGCTACCGCAACAGGAATCGTAGAACCCTCGCGGAGCTTGGCCTAACAGCAGAAAAAACAAGCAAAATAGCTGGAGCCGGCGCAGTGCGTACCAGATATTCCACCAAGAAACCACAGCTGCCGCGACAGCCGCAACTGCCAAGGGAAGATATAAAGATCATCGTACGTCCCCGCGACGGGCTAAGTATTTCAAAACTAAGCGACGCGCTAATTCGAGACGGAGTACTGCGCGCCGCAACAGTAACAATCGCTGAGGCGGAAGACGACATATATCGCTCCTGCGTGGGGCAAAATATCATAGTAATCAGCACTCCAAGTATGGCAAACGCTGAGAAATAAAATCGAATCAGAGAACTCCTATTCGGAGACACGCACTACGAAGCCACAGCCTACGCAACCCCACCAGCAGACACCTCTAAAGGCGTAATCCACAATATTCCGGATTACGACACTGCGGAGGACATCACCAAAAGCCTCATCTACAAGAAGAACCCCCCCCATCCTGCAGGTCCGTCGTATGGGAAACACCAACTCAGTCGTCATCATCTTTGAAGGCCCAAAGGTACCATTCTACGTCTACTACAGGGGCGCGGAGTACCGCTGCTACCTCC